GAGAGAGAGAGAGAGATCGAATCTTTACAATGTTTCAATTTCATTCCCCAAGAAAGTTATAAAGTATCTAAGTCTTTAAAGTAATGATACTCAATCGTTCAATAATTTAGTAATATAAAATTATTTTATTTTTTTAAGGACCTTTAGACAAACGAAATGCAGAAATACGGACAATGATTAATTTATTTTGACACGATAAAATACTCTTCATGTGCAATCTGGATGGAAAAATAAAACGTTTTAAGAGTTTTGCGGATGTGCGATTTTTAGATGACTGAAGCAACTGAAAGTGATTAGAAATGAATAATTGAAATCTTTTACGATTAGAAAATTATTTGACCATTGAATTGGATTTTATGGCACGTGTAGCAGAGTATCACTCGACATGCGGTCAGTAAATTGTCGATGCGATTCAAATTGGTGCCTGAAATTGTGCATCCTATAACGGCAGCCATTAACTCTAATAGAAACCATTAGTCATCTATCATGGCGCGAAACGTATTTACGAGTATGTGCTGGAAAATTCCACGCCTACGCGTGCAACAAGCACGTGCGATTTCAGAGTGGCCATCGAGATTCTTCCGCTGTCATCGATCGCGACGGAAGCTGTGCAAATTATTCGCACGACTCTCATTTCTGTAAACCACACATTTGTGTGCCATTAAAATTTGTTAAACATGACACGAAGTGTTCGCGTGTTTAAAATATTTTTTAAACTTTTATTCCATCCATATTGGCTTTGTGTCTATGATCTAATTTCTATCGAAATCTTTAATTCAGTTCCACTTCGATACTTAGATAATTTTTTTTCTTTATGTTATGATAATTTTTATTTCTTATTTTGGATAATATTTTTTATTGGTTTTCTAATTCTTTTTATATTATCTTTGTTATTTTTGTTTACAAATTTAATTTCTTTTGAACAGTTTCCCTTTCCTGTCGTCTTTGATTTCTACTTGGAAGTATTCCTTGTCTTTTAAACTTCGATCCTTGCCACTCCTTATCCTCGATATTCCGTCGCGTCAGTCCGAACACGTTCCGCGAATCTTCATTTTCCACTCGGTTGTCATTGTCCACCTCTGTTGCTCTCCTGTCTGTTTCTCCCGATCCTTCCGCGTTTGTTTGGGCGACCCGGATGACCCGTTACCTCGAGGCCGCGATCGCGTGTGAGTAAATTGCGCCGCACGATGAGCGTGTATTTTATGCGTGGGATCATAAGCAGCGAGGGAAACCAGAGTATATCATACCGCGGTAGAGAAAGACAGGACGCGCTTATATCACTCAACTGTGTAGAGGCGCCGCTTTTTAATAGCTATATTACCTTGCAAGTTTGCTGCGCAAACATACTTCACATGCCTACTACTAGTTACCGTATTCATCTACGTCGATTAACGATTGAAATTCTAAGAGGCTTTGTGTTTATTTCAAATAAAATTACTACAATATCTCTTGGCGTACATCTCATTAGTGGCTCAACAATCTCATTATCGCGTCGACGACTAATGATTGAAATTCTAAAAGACTGTTTATTTCAAATAAAATTATTACAATATCTTTTTGTACATCTCATTAGCAAATCAATTTTATCGTCGCTTTGCAACTACGTGGAAAGTATTTTGCTGAATTATCTAAAAATTTATGCGTAAGATCTAAAAATAATTGTACTGGTCTATCAAAATAATTATGTGATAATCTCAAACATGATGAGCCATAGCATCTTATATAATTATTTTAATAGTCAAACAAAATTTATTCAGACTTTTATTTAGCTGAACTTTTTGGAATATTTCAGCAAAACCATTTTTTTCGTTAGAAATTTGAATTAGAAATTTTTGTTGATTCAGCGATCGCTATATATTCGTTTCGTATAAAAATATTGTCGTATCATGCCGACCACGTTTGCGTGGTCCGACCGGCATTGCGGCAATCTTCCCGAAATTAACTGTAACGGGATCTTGAGTAGGATCTCTCCGAGGAGAAGAGCTCTCGTGATGAACTCTTGTTTGATCTCCGTTCGCGTCAACATCTCGACTCGCGTATCTAAGTTGGGCTAATAATTTAATAGTCAATCCAGACACGGGAAGCGAGTTCGTACAGCCGCTCCCACGCTACATTCCCTCAGGCATGATTTTACTCCTCTGTACCCCTTTTCCCTCACTCGCTCCTTTTCACCTTCGTTCTCTCTTCTGCTCTTCATCATCGTCCCTCTCCTAGCCTCGTTTCTCTTTGTCGTGTTGTCCGCTCGCGTCTCTCATATTCTTCCCGTTCTCCTTTTCCACGTCTCTCCTATACAACTCCCTCTTCCTCAGTTCCCACGGCCAAGCAGCCGCCAAGCTGCTTGGAAATGCGTCGTTTCAGTCCGTAAATCACGAGGTAACATTTACCTTGGAGACCGTATGGTAAAAGTGAATGCGTTCCTCCAGCTTCTATATATTGAACCCTATTATGTGAAATTTCGCAGCAATCCACGATGGCAAATAATGAAGAAAAGTCACGGGGTTACGAAAAATCATGATCGTAGAATCTCTTTAATAAATATCTAAAAGTCAATCTTTTATAGAATAAAAATTTATGTAAGCAGTAACATTATACCTAAGTATTTTATATATTTATTTCTAATTGGAAATCGAGTTGCTATAAAATTCGAGTTAACTCAGTTTCCATTGCCATAAAACAATATAATATAGGCCTCAAAACGATAATGGCTTGTACAAATATTTTACGTGCTTATCGCAAACTCACTGCAATATCATAATCCTTTTTTCATTTTCAATTTTCATTACAATAATTATTTTCGCATTTGCAGTTTGGTCTGCGGCAGCTCGATCTCTCGTTATTGTCGCAATTGTGGTCCTTGAACGAGTCGATCCAGGAGTTCCGACAGCTGCTGCAGGAACAGGAGGATCGAGCGCCTTCGCCGTCGCCCAGCAGCGAAGAGGGAGAAGATATGACTTATGGGATACATCCGCCGCCGCCACCGAGAAGACCAGCACCCACGCTGCATCATCGGCCACCACGACCTCCCAGGCCACCCAGGCCATCAGCCAGTGACGAGTCGCCATCGAGCGAGGAGTACGGGGCCGTTTGACGTATCGTTACCGAGAGGAAGAAGTACTCAAAAAGGTCTCGGTCCTCTCATCGCACCTAGAACGGCGTTCCAGCAAGCGCCAGTATCTCCGAAACACGAGAAAAAAAACCTCAGAGACTTTTGTGAAAATGAAAATTGCGACTATCGAAATCGGTGGTCAAGATTCGCGCGTGCACGCGCATCGTGATATTCGATTGCAAATTGCTGATTCCTAAGAAGTACCTGCAACATCGCTTGCAGAGCCATTCGAGATCACGGTTCTTTAATTTGTGACCGGAATTGATGATCGAATCGGTCGGTTGGCTAAAAGATTATTTCGCGGTAGATTAGTCGTGGTCGCGCGTACGGTGCTATCTGCGTAACTATCCGGAGAAGTTGTCCGCTTTTCCCGCAGGCCGTCGTTTAGAGAACTATTCGAGATTATCCGCGATCGCTACTTCAGCACGAAAGGATTGATGATCGAATCAAAACTCGACGGTGGAAGACCGCAGTAGTTCAGTCGCCAATATGCGAAAGTTGTTTCACATATGCAAGATAATAATCATTTCTCACAGGACTTCTGCCCGGAGAAGAGCATCGACTTGCCAATTTGCAATAATGACATTCCGCATATATCGCGCTCTAAATAAGGAAGGACTCGATTGCCGCGAGCGAGAGAGCTGACTTCAGCTCGACGCGCCGCTCTCCTCTCTACTTGTGATAACGCTCGAAGGGGCCTTTGATTAATGATAATCGCACCCATTTGTGCGGATTAAGATTTCTCCGCGACTCCGCTCTGCCATAGAGCAATTGTAACAGATCCGAGCCCAAAGCACCGCGATTCTTTCGTGTTGTGATCCAAGAAGAGACGTGATTCTTTGGCATCACCAGCCGTGAAGCAGCGACTGGTGAAAGAATCACAGTGTTCTCTTCTCTTCCATGTTTTTTAATACTGTTGCATACCCGTCGCAAAACTTATTCTCGTTGCTGTCGTCGGGTTACCTGCGCAATTAGATCTGCCATACACGCGAAGAGGATGGACAAATTTAATATCTTTTAAAAGCAATATTTAACAGAATTTGTAAATGTTTGATTTCTACATTACAGATATATAAAACAAGCCTTATAGATATATAATACCTTACAAGTCTTCGCGTGTACGGCATCTTTGGGAGAACGAAAATTGTCAATGTTCCACGACGCCCTTTCGTGTAGATTAGTACTGTGTAAAGATATGTAAGACTATGTGCAAAATAAATGAGACTTAATTTAAATATACGCTGACTCGTAACAAGCGTTACGTAATGCAACTACAACCTTTTCTTGTATGCATCGTTGTTCTGACACAGATAGTTAGCAATCGACAATGCTGCACCTACTTGCATGTATGCAAATTGCATCTCGTTCCGATGCAGGGTGTGTGCGGAAATAAATAGTGCAATAGCAGGACAATGAGGACAAAGAAATTGCTGTATGAGACTCTTGCGTCATCCAAGATGCCGCAATAATTCATATTATGCTTGTTTCGATTACATACTAATTAAATTTTTTTTCTATTTAATCCTCAACATAGCATTAAATTATAAGACATGATGAGTTACATCTCAATATTTTTGCATACATAACATTTTTGAGTCAGTAAAAATTTTTTGATTTTTTGATTAACATTGTGAATTTGATTTACAGGGTTAGGTTGCATATTCTTTCTACTTGACTTTTATTTTATTTTTTTTTTTTCATGAATTACATAGTTGGTTGGCACTATTAAAGAAGAATTCTCTTATAAACTTTCATATGAAGAAATTTGTCGATGAACGCTGCGATTCGAGCATTTTCTCCGCTTAGTCTATTGTATTTTTTTTTTTTTATGTACATGCACAATTCATACATGTTGCTCCTCAATACCGTCCATCGTCAACGCTTTACACATACATAAACGAAATACACTGGCAAAGGCGAAGCAGCCAGAGCTAAATTTTCTCGAAACATGTTATATAGGCAATGTAAGATTTTTTCAAACTAATTTTTGCATAAATATTTTTTTTCAAAATTGTTTATAAGAACATCATAAAAACAAATTATCTTACATAAAGAAGAATACCGAATATGTACACAAGATAAATATCACAAGCTTACCAATAAAAAAAACTCTTCTATTCATTTATATAAAGAAAAGTGTATACGTCATCGACGAATTAACATGACTTGAAGACTTGACATAAAAAATGTGTCACGTCCCAGAAAGTTTATTTTTCTTTCAAAAATTCCCATTAGTGCTTAAAAGCTAGTAACAAACTGTAATTGCTGTATGAGCAAATTTATGATATGCAAAATGAATACGAAGAACATTCTTTTAGTGTCTTCTCGGACAAATGTATATTACTTTTGATTCTTTTTTGTTTTTTTCTTTTATCTTTTATTTTTGGTATTTGGCTGACTTTTCCATTTTTTTGTCCTGTCTTCATGTATTCTTAACAATTCATCCGCGGGGACACATCCATACAGAAAAAAGCTTAATTTGCCCGTTTTTCAAACGGTTCTACGTCGTTGCATTGATCGTGTGGTTCATTAAATGTCTACTTTAATACTAGAACTACCGATGATTAATTTCTACCATTTAAATATTTTATAGTATACATATCTCTGAAAAAATATGAAGGGGAAAAATAAATTGATCAATTTAGATCTCGATTTTTACAAATTGCAGTAAAAATAACGAGAAGCTTAAAAAAATGCTTTGTCATAAATAATTTAAAAAAAAAAAGATTACAAACTAGTCGTTTTAATTACGTTGATAGTTCCAGTGTTAAAGTCTGCTTTAATACGCGAAATAATTTCTGCGCGAGAATGTAAATGTGGTCTTGTAAATATATTATTTCGGAATGATGTGCGATAAAGAAGCATTCAATGTTTCCAAAAAAAAAACCGGAAATGAAGAATCATTCCCGTCATTTGTAGCCCCTCGGGAATTATTGACGTGATTTAAGAAGAAGTTGATCTCTATTGAATTGATCTCATGTAGTGAACATAACACATAGAGAACATCGTCTAATATACGTAGAAAGTTTCTCTCTAATCGTACATTTATGAAAGATTGTTTAAAGAAAGTCTCACGATCCCTTCCGGATCCACTTGTGAAAGCTCACGCGTTTTTATTTCCATTTTAAAAAATATCGACGCGCGATTCACGCTTGATACGAATATACGTCGCAAAGTGGGCACGCATCATGATTAAATGAGTATATTGCATTAAACACGTTACGCAGGATATTTCTTAAGTATTGCCTAAAATTTTAGAAAATCTTTATTAATTTTAGAAATTAATTGTTTTAGATAAATTTTGGATTTTAAAAACTGATATTTTTTTCTTTATCATTTATGAAGAAGAATTCATATGAATCTCAATAGTCTCTTAAAAGCCTCGAGTCAGAGTGATTACACAAATTTTGTAAAATTATCTTTTGTTTCTAAATAGAATCTTTTGTATAAAAAGAGGTTTCTTTTTCAAACGTCCTTTAAGATTTGATTCTGTTGACATATAAGTTCGGAGCAGTAATGTATTGTAAATCTTAAATCTCATTTGTATCTCATTGCTTTTTTACAAAGCGGCAACTAAAAATATGAAAAGTGAAGGTAATACCTTATCTATTTATTGATTCGAGTTTGCGAAAAATCTTTTCTTATTTATGAACTATTAAAAGTTATTAAAAGCTTAATTGAAAGCAATAACCACATAAAATTTTTAACACCCTTTGAGATTACATGTTCAATTTTTCTTTGTAAAATGACTTCAAAAATCAACTCTTAAAATATTAGTACTTAAGAAATATTCTGTATAAGTGCTATGAGATAATTTTCTCATAGGGTAGTAACGCCACTTTACGAGATACTCGAGCAATATATCGAATTACTTCCTACACATTCATAAAAATGCTTTCATACTTTTGAGCTGCGCATCTTCCATCAGGTAGATATCTCCTTTCTTTTTTTCACTAATAAAAATATTTTTTCCTTATAAACGTATAAACGTTACTTCATTATTCTGATAGTGAGTATTAACCAAATAGATTCAAAAGAAATTAATTTAATGTGCGTGAGATACTCTTTTCGGGGAATTGAAACGATCCACGTTATCTCACAGCTTAGAGACAGATAATTTATTATTTCTGAGAAATGCAATACGTATATATTATTATTCCAAGATATTCGTATATGGAAGATGCCCAAGGAACATTTCGCGAAAATTTGCAACGGATCCGAGAGAGTCGGTGGACCATTCGTACGATACATACATCGTACAATTAGTAAATGTGCACCGTGCCCTTTACAACGGCGCTAAAATGCATATACATTTAATTTCCATTTCAAACAGACTTTTAAACAATCACGAAAAAACAATCAGCGTCCCGCTATTTTCTTCTCAACGAGAAATTTCTAACTGCCTCTCTCTCTCTCTCTCTCTCTCTCGCTCGCTCGCTCTCTCTCGCTCTCGTACGCACGCACACTTTGTACTGATCTTCAACCATGATAACGATTAAATCACATTGAAGTCTAACATTATTAGGTATAATTACCTTAACAATGAACTTACTGACTAATACTTAACGATACTAATAATAAATATATGTTGCCTTTTTCGGCGACTTTTTAAAGAGAACAGTGATGCTCCAAAAATTTGGAAAATAAAAAATTGATTCTTCTGGATGGATACTTCTCCATTATTTTACTTGACGCTCTTACATCCAGTTTGACATTTTATTCTAGATATCGCATTGTCTGTTTTTCGATCGACATTTTTTCTTCGTATACTACCTAATTTATTAAATCAATAAATTTACTAAATATAAAAGATGAGTAAAAGTAAATTTCGAGTAATAATAAATTACTATGTAAAATATTCAAGTTTAGGCTGAATTAAAGATCTTCTAATTTGCTAAATAATTGTAGAAATAATATGAAAAATGAGAGTAGCTACGCTATTGTTGGAGTGCAAAATTTT